AGCCTAAGAACTCCAAGAACTCTTAAATTATGCTTTCGATCAAAAAGTCTATCAAATCTCGTCCGAATGACCTGAAATTTTGCACGCACATCCCAAATGACATAACGAAACTACTGGAACTCTCGGAATTCCATTCCGACCCCTATATCAAAATCTCACCTATCGACCGGAAAGCGCCGAAATCTCAATTTCGTCAATCCAAGCCTAAACCTTCCACGGACTTCTAAAATACATTCCGATCACGCTCCTAAGTCCCAAATCACCTAACGGAGCTAACCAAATCATAAAAATTCTCATCCAAGATCAAATACACATAAGTCAAATTTTGGTCAACCCTTTCAAATTTTAAGCTTTCAACTGAGAACTGTTCTTCTAAATTCATTCTGATTACCCTGAAAATCAAAACCAACGATTTACATAAGGCATAATGTATACACGAGGCAAGTCATGCCCGAAGACTGACGATCAAAGTGCAAAAGTTCAAAACGACCGGTCGGATCGTTGCAAAGTCCTACTAGATTAAATTCCCATGCTCCAGGTGGTTCAAACTTAGTTTCTGATTATTCAAGGATCATTTTAATTACCTGTTTCCATATCCCTAATAAGTGTTTAAAAATGTGTTTTGGGATATTTATATCGAAGTATGTGTTGAAGATTCAAGGGGGCGCTTTTTGTGGTCTCTTTCCATGGGTTTCAAGTGGCTTGACAACAGCTTGGAGAAGTAATGAGAATTTGACAAGATTGGCAGAAGACCAACAAAGCCTTCTTTTGGCTATAAGCTGTGATAATTTCTAATCTTCAATCTGCTAAAATCCCAGGGAAGGCTGTGATCATCTTTCTTTTCTTGTTTTCAGTTTCTCCAAGCTAACTTGTTTAGGACTAAGGTGTAGTTGTATATTCTGAGAAAGTTCTTAGGGACAATAGCGAAGCTAAATCTTATTTGTGTACTGGTGATTGAACCCAATGACATGTGCTGAAGTTGTTTGGCATGTCTAAGTTATTTTTTTTTATCTCGTTCCATAACTTTAGCTGATTTGGGTTTCGTTTGGCTTATGGCTATATGCTTTGATATATCTCTACAGATACGTTCTTACACTTTCCACTTAGATGTTAGTTGGCTCGTTTCTGTTGTTAATCATATAGAAATTTTTATGTTTTATGCCATTTTTCCATTGTTTATTTGTTCATGTTTAGTTTTGGTTTGTGCTGTTCACTCTTCCACTTTGTAGAATTTCTGTTACTTCTGACTGTCTTTGAATTACATGAATCAAATTAACATTTTAGAGTGTATTTGAATAGACATGAACCAAAATAGAATAGAGATGCCAATTGAGCGTACATTTTAGAAAAAATTCATTGCTGAATTTATCTGTGTTTTGTATTTGTTAAAAGAGTTTAAGTTATATACACCAATTACACAGTCAGAACATCATTATCACTTGCGGCAATTAGTAATTTTTCGATAGCTTCTACGCCAGCAGGGTGATGAACATCATTGGTATCAGATTGCTGACTTACATTTGATAACAACATACTTCAAGTGCTAATAGTTGAATTTTAAATCTAAAATTTGTACATATTTAAGTGTCAAATTGATAACCGTGGTGTCGGAATTTGCTTGCACGCACCTTAATTAATTTGTACCAAGTAATTTTGCCTACCAAGGAAATAAATCACTTATTAGTTTTTTATTTGTGCCTAGTTAAAATTTCAACCGAAAATTTTATGGTTTCAACCCATTTTATTGACAACTAGCAACACACTTAATTCCCTTTAAGCTTTAATTTCTTTTCTTTCCCATATTTGCCTGAAAATTTTAATTTTAACATTTTTCAATACACTTGTACTTCATACAAAGAGCTTGTTTGGATTGTCTTGTTTTAAGTGACTTTTAAGTCAAAATAGTTTTTAAGCCATAAGTTAGAAATTTTAGTTTTTGGCTTGTTTGTGTCATTTTAGCTTAAAAATAAGTGCTTAAAAATACTTTTTTACTTTATCCAAACATTACAAAATGACTTAAAAGCGATTTTGGCTTAAAAACACTTAAAACCGGGCAATCCAAACGGGCTCGAATACTAATTCTACAAGTCAATATCTTTTCACTATAATATTCCTAAAAACTGTATACCCATTGACCAATATGCCCTTTGATTCCAATCCCCAAAAGTTCTGCCCTATTTACACAGACGCTTCAACCAGAAAATAGCTTTGAGCATAGCTTTAGAAAAGAAAGAATGAGGCAACAGAGAGATTGGGATTTTCTGTAAAAGGGTGGTTTCCCCTCTATGTTATGCCTGTGATTTCTCCATTGAAAATCAACAGCCTTTTCAATTAGACAAAAAAACAAAAAAAAAATCATCCAAACAGACCCTTAATATATTCCTCTTTCTCTTCCTCCTCTTCTTGTGCTGCTGCTACTGAATACTTTATATAAAGGGGCCGTGATGATTACTTCTCCTTTCTGGGTTGTGTTCAATTCATGGCTATGAGAAAATATCCGACCTGTATCTTGGCGGGGCGACCCGGTAAGGCTTTTGTATAGCAAACTGGTGTCTGCAGCCATGGCGGCGTCGCCTTCTCTTTTGCTTTGAAAAAAAAAACAGCAAATCTGAGCCCTAAGGAAAGGCCCATGTAATAGTCTGTTTGGCCGTACTTCTAAAATCAGCTTATTTTGTAATAGCTTGTTTGGTCGTGCTTTTAAAATCAGCTTATTATATTTAAGAAAATAACCCTTATTTTTAGAGACCTCACAAGCCTGCAATTATGAAAAGGGAAAAGGTTAGCCCTGAAGAATTAAAGAAATGACACAAAAACAGTGAGTTTGGGATTTTCTTTGAAAGGGTGGTTGCCCCTCTCTGTTTCACCATTGATTTTCCTCCGTTATTTAAAAAAAAAAAAAAACAACAGCCCTTGTTTATGTCTTTATGACAAAAGCAGAAGCAGAAGAAGTGAGTTAAGTTATATATACTAACAGTCTCTCTACCTGCACAAGGTAGGGGTAGGGGTGTCAAACAGGCAGGCCGTGTCGGATATGGGACGGGTCGAAAATATAAAAATGGATAAATTATCCGATCCGGTCCATATTTAATACGGATAAAAAAGGGTTAACCGGCATATTATCCATGGCCTGTGTATATGATTACTTTTGGGAGAATTCCTAGTCTTCAAACTTGAGGAACCCCAATTTGAGGCTTTACAATGTAAAAGTTAAATCTAATAGTTATCCATTCGTTATCTATTTGGTTATCTATTTTTTAAGTGGATAATATAGTTCTTATCCATTTTGACCCGTTTTAAAAAAGTTCATTACCGATCCATATTTTAATGGATAATATGGGTATATAACTATTTTCTTTTATCCATTTTGCCACCACTAGTTAGGGGTAAGACTGCATACTCACTACCCTTCCCGGACCCGCTTGTGGATTACGCGGGGTTTGTTGTTGTTGCATACTGACATCTGTGTTTTTCCTCTGCGTGTTCTTTTATAGTATTGATAGAAGGTACATAAAGTGGCACTGATGATGTTTCTATATCTTGGCTAACTGATTTGGGCATTGAGATGACCCGACCTGTATCTTGGTGTGGCAACCCGGTATGACCTGTGATTGAGATCTCTCACATGCAACCGGTGTTTTTGCAGTCATGGCATGGTTGGCTTCTCTTTTGCCTTATCATAACACACATCTGAGCCCCATTTGCTTGAAACTACAAAAAACATAATCTTTTCCATGATTCAATGTTGGGATATGTCGAATTTGCGACCTTCTGCCGCAACTATTAGATTGCAAACCCAGTAACTCAAAATGAGTTGTAGAAATTCGAACTCGAATAAAGTTCAAGTCCTGAATCCGCCTCTGGAGGGATATGCATCTATCTGTCTGTACATTAACACCCTGTTTGGATGGTTGTTCTCATTGTATTGTATTGTATTGTATTGTTACCTCGAAAAGCTACACAACAAAAAATATGGAAAGGAAATTATAATGAGGCGATAAAAAAGACCTCAATGGTCGCTTAAGTTCAGGGGAAGGTGTATAACGGGGCTGTGATGATTTATTTTTTTCCGAGCTTCATGGAATCAGGAGTTGATAGGCCGTATCTTGGCGGGGCAGCCCGATAACGGGATTTGCAGCCATGGCGGTGCTTGAGATGGAGTTACAGATCTGAACCTCAAAATCTTTGTTATTATCATCTCTACTTGACCAGAAGGAAGAATGAGGCCAAGAGGGAGTTCTAGGACTGGTTGCCCCCTCTGTTTAGCCTATGATTTCTCCTTTAATAAAACCAACAGCCCTCTTTCCTCAAAGAAAACAAAGAAAGCAAACATATGGCGCCTTTGCGTTAGGCATTACTGGATTCTTAGTATGAGCTTAGTCCAAAACTTCCATACTTACATGAAATGTATGAAAGAGTCAACATTTTCTGAAAGAGGCAGTTATTGTACTGGGCATGGCATTGAGAAGATACTCTACCCGTATCTTGGCAAGGCGAACCAGTATGTCTTTTGCATGGCGAACTGGTATCTGCAGCCATGGCGGCGGCGCCTTCTCTTTTACTTTGTTCAAATACAGTAAATCGGAGCCCTCAATGCCCAAACATAGAGAAAGTCAGCTCACATAATGGGGCATCAATGAGAAATAGGATTTATTTATTTATTTATGCATTCGTTCAGTTTTGCTGGTAAACCCATGATTTCTTGCTGGAAGCAATTTACAGTGCTTAGTTCTTACTGTAAATCTAGCTTCGAGATATGCATGTTGTTGTTGATCTGCTGTTGTTGCTGCTGCTGCTACTACTACCGTTCTTTTGTTATCCCTGCTATGTGACTGTGTTAACACCCAAACAACGAGGGTCATACTAAAAATAAAGGTAGAAGTGAAAAATTTGAGGCAGTGATGATATGATTCTTGGCAAATGGCATTATTGATTTGCATTGAGATGGTATTAAACTCGTATCTTGGCAGGGCAATCTGGAGGAGATTGCAGCCATGGCGGTTTTGAGAAACTCAATGCCTGATCATTGTGAGATATGAGCCTCATATGAAAATAGCAAAAATCTCATTAGTTTAAGTCTGAGGCTGCTGTGAAAGCAGAGGGCTGTGGGGAGTTTCAATTGATGGTTTTGCCCCTCTCTGTCATTCTCTGATGCTGATGATCACTCAAATGAAAAAAATTTCTGATTCCAAAACCAGCCTTTTGGTGAAAATACATATAACCTTTCTATTTTCCTTTCTTGTTACGCCGAGGCTATGAAGATTTTGTTCTTCTGTGAAAGATGAAACAAGAGATTTCTATTGAGCTGTGTATTGGAAAATATTCCACTTCTTGGTGCTTCTTCTATGTCCTGTAAGGCTAACTGATGCTTGCAGCCATGGCGGTTTTACCAAAGTTTTTTTGGTTTCTGTCTGATGAAAGGCGAATCTGAGCCTACGCCATTACTTTGAGTTTGGTTTTTGCTTTTCGCTGCTCCTTGGTTTTACCCCATTAATTTGAGCTTACTCAAAAGCTTTCACTAATGACTCAGTCCTAATTCCTAACGAAAGAAAGAGAAATATATACAAGAAATAATTAATATTTACAGCTTTCAGGATAGTATAAAAAGAACTGTTATGGAGATGTAACAAAACAAAAGCTCAAGAAAACGAGAATGAGGCTTCAGAGAGTTTAGGATTTTCTGCTGAAAGAGTGGTTGCCTCTCTCTGTATTAGCCCATGATTTATCCACTACTGTAACAATCCCAACAACCCTGTAAAAATTTCATGGAATGGCCAGTTTTCATCTTGCTATTTAAGCTATATCCAGTTTTTCAAAGTATTAATTTGTAGTCAGTGTTGGTGAGTATGATTGACTGCTTGAAAGAGGCGATGATGATTTTTTTGTCAATCTTCTATTCCCTTCTGATCTTGTCAGTTGGGCATTTGAGATGATTCGACTCGTATCTTGGCAGGGCATGCCCCCAGATTTCTGGTGTTTTTTTGCAGCTATGGCGTTGTCGGATATCCTTTTACTTCAGTTATAACACGGATCTGAGCCTTAAAACCGTATATACCCAGTTGGACCGAAGCAGGGGTGATTTGCACAAATAGGATGCTTTGAGGCCACTATTTATATTTTGTTGCGTAAGTATTTCTGCAAGCAGAGAGCTGTGGGGTGTTTCAATGGGTGGTTTTGCCCCTCTGTCATTCTACGCTGCCAATGATCACTCAAATGAAAAACTTTTCCAATTACAAAACCACCCTTTTGGTGAAAATACATTTGACCTTTCTAGTTTCCTTTTCTTGTTACTCCCTCGGTTTCATTTTATGTGCAATGAGACTGAAAATTTTGTTCTTCTGTAGGATAAGAATCAGATATCTTTCTCTTACAACAACAGCAACATACCAGTGAAATCCCAGTGTAGTCTGGGTAGTGTGTACGCAGACGTTACGCCTGCCTACCTTGTGAAAATAGAGAGGTTGTTTCCGATAGAGTTGTAAAAATCAAAATTTGAGATTATCCATACTGTATCTTGGCGGGGCATGCCCCCAAATTTCTGGTGGTTTATGCCGCCATGGTGTCTTCGGATCGCTTTTTGCATCTGTCAAGTTGAAGTGTCTCGATGACAATTCATGACAAGTTTGAGTTGTTATCTATGTATTCTGCCTATCTGAAATAATAATAAAATATAATACAATACAACGGTAACAACCATCCAAACAAGCTGTTATTAGTCTATTTGGTTTAGAGACAAGTTATGTCAGTGGTGGTGAGTATGATTGATGGCTTGAATTCATTCCCTTTTGAGCTTATTAATCAGGCATTTGAGATTATCTGACCCGTATTTTGGCAGGGCATGCTTTAGGTTTCCCTTAGTGGTATTTGCAGTCATCGCGTTGTCAGACTCTTTTTGCTTGAGTTATAACATAGATCTGAGCCTCAAAAAGGAAGCACAAAAATGGTGATAATCTCGTTAGTTTAAGTTTAAGGTTGTGGTGAAAGCAGAGAGCTGTGGAGAGTTTCTATGGGTGGTTTTGCCCCTGTCTTTTTCTGCTGCCGATGATCTCTTAAATGAAAAATTTTCCAGTTGCAAAACCACCCTTTTGGTGAAATTTCAGTTAACCTCCCTCTTTTCCTTTTCTAGTAACTCCCTCCGCTTTATTTTATGTGTGATGAGGCATGAAGATCTTGTTCTTCTGTGGAAGATGAATCAGATGTATCTTTCTAATGAGCTGAAAAAATCTGTATCTTGGCGTGGCAGCTCAGGTGGGTGTTTGAGATATTTGGAAAAATTCCATTTTTTTGGTTTTTCTTATGTGTCTCACAAGAGTAACTGATGCTTGCAGCTATGGCTGCTTTTTCAAAGCTTTTTGGTTTTTGTCTGAGAAAAGGCGAATCTAAGCCTATTACATTGCCTTGATTTTGTTAAAAGAATGAGCTTTTGGACTCGGAAAATGAAGGAGTTCCTAAGGGTGGTTGCTCTGTTTCTCTTTGAGTTGATACGTATCTTGGCTTGACAAAATTCAGTCGAATTTGTGTGGTGGTTTTATTTTCTCTTACAGTAAGCCATCTGCCTTTTGTAGCCATGGCGGACTTGCTCATTTTCTGATGGTTTTTGGACAAATCTGATTTGGATCGGGTTGCGCGCCGCAACAATAGTTAATAAAAGTGCTTAGTAACAGTTACGAGTTCCTTATTCTTTTGCTATAAATTCTAAATTGTTCTTTATGTTTTCTCTTAAATTACTGTTGGTAAATGATATTCCCTCGCAGCATGTCCTCCTTCCCATCTTTACTTGTTTATTTCTGTTTTATTTTCCACTGTATATTATATATAACAACACAGGTTTATTTGTGTCACGACCACGGTTCGCTCTCTGTGAACCATCGTGACGGCACCTAGTCTCTACGACTAGGTAAGCCTAAATTGCGGAAATTAAATGATTTTAAAACAGAATTAGAGTAATAAAACAGTGTTTAAAAGTGCCGCTTGGTATACACAAATACACAATATTTAACTCTCAAATCCAATATATATCTCTCCCAAACCCCGAAAACCCATGAATTGCAAGCTAAGGGTATTACATAGTGCTCTAACTCCAGAATAGTCTAAAACAAGTAAATACAACAGCTGTAACTACAAGAGAAAATAGAGAGACTCTTCGGTTTGCGTATGCGGCAGATATACCTCGAAGTCTCCGAAGGGTCGCCTCACCTCAAGGATGGTAAGTTTGAGTCAAGGTACCTAGATCTGTACATGAAAAATATGCGCAGAAGGGGCATGAGTGCACCACAACGGTACTTAGTAAGTGTCAAGCCTAACCTCGGTCAGGTAGTGACGAGGAAGGTCAGGGCCCTACTGAGATAAAATAAAAATATAAAATATGACAGTATAAGATAAGAAGTACAATCGAAAACTAACACTAAGAATTTAATACATGAAAACAAGGAATTCAATAACTGTAACAGAGGCAAAAACAGTCACAAGGAAATAACCGGGGATCTCTCAGTATCCCGAGGATCTCTTAGTACTCTCAATGTATGTCAGGGATCTCTTGGTATCCCGAGGATCTCTTAGTACTCTCAATGTATGTCAGGGATCTCTTGGTATCCCGAGGATCTCTCGGTATCCTCAATATACGTTAGGGATCTCTTGGTATCCCGAGGATCTCTCGGTATTCTCAATATATGTCAGGGATCTCTTGGTATCCCGAGGATCTCTCGGTATTCTCAATATATGTCAGGGATCTCTTGGTATCCTCAATATACGTGCCAGGGATCTCTCGATATTTCGCACCTCAATTCAAATCATAAATACGTGCAGGGGATCTCTCGGAATGTCGTCCCGTAGTCCCAAAGTAAAACACACAGCAGCAACACAAGAGTACTCAATTAAGCTCAATTTCGTATCAAGTAAACAGGTACTTCTAATCTAACATGCTTCACATAATTCAATTAAGGCAGTTTAAGCAAATAAACAGTTAAGTCAATTAGACATGATTTTTCTAAGTTAATAACAGGTTTAAATTGCAAGTAAAATGAAATAGGAAAAAGAACACAATTTAAATTACTTAAAGAAAATCGGATTTTTAACAATTAGATCAAGTACGCACTCGTCGCCTCACGTACAAGGCATTTCAAATATCAAATATACCAAATCCTAAGGGGAAGGTCCCCCACACAAGGTTAGACAAGCCACTTACCTCGAACTGGCTTAATAATCAACCCGAGGTCACGTTCTTGCCACGAGTACTCGACTCCAAATGACCCAAATCTATTCAATTCAATTGCATAATGTAAATAACACTTCAAGTAACTGATTCTACAATTAAATTCTAAGCTAATACACGAAATTAGGTAAAATGATCAAAACGGCCCTCGGGCCCACGTCTTGGAATCGGGTAAAATTCATATTTTCAGAATCCTCATACTCTCACGAGTTCATGCATACCAAAATTATCCAAATCTAAAGTCAAATTCTAGGTCTAAGAACTTTCTTCCAACTTTTCCCTAAATTTCATCTCCAATCTGAACTTAAATGATGAAACTAACTATAGATTGATGGAATATAACTATAAAGGGTTAAAGAATTGTTACCCAATGATCTCCTCTTCAATTTCCTCCCAAAATTGCCCTCTCCCGAGCTCCAAATCGAATTTCTGACTTTTGAAACTAAACCCTCGAAATTTCATATTTATGCCCAGTTGTTACTGCATCTGCGGTCCTAGTACCGCTTCTGCGGTCCCGCTTTTGCGGAACACGGGTCGCATCTGCGACTTCTCACTTAAAACCAATCTTCCCCATCTGCGACTCCCCATCCGCAGATGCGGTACCGCTCGTGCGGAAATCCTACCGCTTCTACGGTCCCTGCCGAAATTCCCCATTTCCGCTTATGCGATAGATCCGCCGCTTCTGCGGCTCCGCACCTGCGGTCCCACACTCGCATGTGCGGTTACGACAGAAGAACAGCTGAAGCTGCAACTCCAAAATTCCAAAAAAAATTCCATCAACCATCCGAAATCATCTCGAGACCCCCAAGGCCTCGACAAAACCTACCAACATATCCCATAACTTCATTCAAACTTATTCCAACATTCGGAACGTCCAAAACAACATCAAAACACCTATTTTTCATCGGATTCAAGCCTAAAATTTTTAAAAACTATAAAAATACACTTTCGATCAAAAAGTATATCAAACCTCGTCCGAATGACCTGAAATTTTGCACACATGTCACATTCAACGCAACAGAGCTACTTCAACTTCCGGAATTCCATTTTGACCCTCGGATCAAAATCTCACTATCGAACCAGAAATTTAAAAATTCGGCATTTCAAGCCTAAGTTAGCTACGGACCTCCAAAACACAATCCGAACATGCCCCTAAGCCCGAAATCACCCAACGGAGCTAACGGAACCATCGGATTTCCATTCGAGGTCATCTTCATACTGTTCCGACTACGGTCAACTTTCCAACACTTAAGCTCTCATTTAGGGACTAAGTGTCCCAAAACTCTCTGAAACTCAAAACCGAACATCCCGGCAATCAACATAGCAGAAATAAACACAGGGAAAGCAGTTAATAGGGGATCGGGGCGTAAATTCTTAAGACGATCGGCCGGGTCGTCACATCCTCCTACACTTAAACATTCGTTCATCCTCGAACGAGCATAGAGACATACCTGAAGTAGTGAAAATAAGAGGGTAACGGCTGCGCATTTCCTGCTCGGTCTCCCAGGTCGCCTCCTCGACCGGCTAACCCCGCCATTGAACCTTTACCAATGCATTATTCTTTGACCTCAGCTTTCTAACTTGCCTGTTCAATATTGCCACTGGCTCATCAACATAAGATAGATCCTTGTCCAACTGGACTGAACTGAAATCCAACACGTGCGACGGATCGCCGTGATACCTCCGGAGCATCGAGACATGGAATACCGGATGAACTCCTGCCAAGCTGGGAGGTAAGGCAAGCTCATAAGCAACCTCCCCAACATGCCTCAATATCTCAAAAGGCCCAATAAACCTCGGACTCAACTTTCCCTTCTTCCCAAATCTCATAATGCCCTTCATAGGTGAAACCCGAAGCAGAACCCGCTCTCCAACCATATGGGAAATATCACGAACTTTCCGGTCCGCGTAACTCTTCTGTCTGGACTAGGCTGTACGGAGTCTATCTTGAACCATCTTGACCTTCTCCAAAGCATTCTGAACCAAGTCTGTGCCCAATAATCTAACCTCACCCGGCTCAAACCAACCCACCGGGGATCTACACCGTCTACCATATAAAGCCTCATACAGTGCCATCTAAATATTGGACTGATAATTGTTGTTGTAAGCAAACTCCGCCAATGGCAAGAACTGATCCCAAGACCCTCCAAACTCAATCACACACGCATGGAGCATATCCTCAAGAATCTGAATAGTGCGCTCAGACTGTCTGCTCGTCTGAGGGTGAAATGTTGTACTCAACTCCACCCGAGTACCCAACTCATGCTGAACGGCTCTCCAGAATCATGAAGTAAACTGAGTACCTTTATCTAAAATGATGGAAACTGGAATACCATGCAGGCGAACAATCTCCCGGACATAGATCTTCGCCAGCCGCTATGAGGAATAAGTAATACACACAGGAATAAAGTGAGCGGACTTGGTTAGCCGATCCACAATCACCTAAATAGCATCGAACTTTCTCAAAGTCCATGGGAGCCCAACTACAAAGTCCATGGTGATCCGCTCCCACTTCCACTCCGGAATCTTCATCTGCTGAAGCAACCCACCTGGTCTCTGGTGCTCATACTTCACCTGCTGATAGTTGAGGCACCGAGCTACAAATCCAACTATATCCTTCTTCATCCGCCTCCACCAGTAGTGCTGCCTCAAATTCTGATACATCTTTGCGGCACTCGGATGAATGGAATACCGCGAGCTATGGGCCTCCGCCAGAATCAACTCCCGAAGCCCATCAATATTGGGTACACAAATTCGACCATGCATCCTCAATACACCGTCATCACCAATAGTCACATCTCTGGCATCACCGTGCTAAACCTTGTCCTTGAGGACAAGTAAATGAGGGTCATCATACTGACGCTCCCTGATACGATCAAATAAGGAAGACCGAGAAACTACGCAAGCTAGAACCTAACTGGGCTCCGAAAGATCCAATCTTACAAACTGGTTGGCTAATGCCCGAACATCCATCGCCATAGGCCTCTTTGATGCTGGTAAATAAGTCAAACTCCCCAAACTCTCTGCCCGGCGACTCAAAGCATCAGCCACCACATTGGCCTTGCCCGGGTGATACAAAATAGTAATATCATAGTCCTTCAGCAACTCTAACTACCTCTTCTGGCGCAAATTTAGATCCTTTTTTCTTGAACAGGTGTTGCAAGCTCCAATAATCAGTATAAATCTCACAAGGAACCCCGTATAAGTAATGGTGCCAGATCTTCAGGTGTGAACAATGGCAGCTAACTCAAGGTCGTGGACAGGGTAATTCTTCTCATGTACCTTCAACTGTCTGGACGCGTAGGCAATCACCCTACCATCCGGCATCAACACCGCTCCGAGGCCAATCCTCGAGGCATCATAATAGATCGTATAAGACCCCGAACCTGTAGACAGTATCAAAATTGGGGCTGTAATCAAAGCTGTCTTGAGCTTCTGAAAGCTCGCCTCACACTCCTCCAT